CCCTCAGATTCCTCCAGACAAGGAAGGAGAGGCTGGGAGGGTGGAAATGGTCACAGGCAGTAGGAGACTGCCCAGGGATGGGCAGGAGTGTCAGAACAAGACGGATAGATATAGAATCTTGGTCAGCTTTCTTGTGTGTGGTGTACATTTGTAGTGTGTGTGTTTAGGAGTGAGAGGGCAGAGAGAGGATGGACAGGGTGAAGACGGGGGGACTGGAGTGTTGGCGGCTCTGAGGGCCTAGCTGTGAGGAACAGGAGCATGGAAGTAGCTGGGCGGGGCGGAGGGCACTGGGATGCAGGAGTTTACTTGATCAGAAGGAAAGTCTCTCCCCTGAGAAATTGAAGGGAGCCATTTGGGACGGTGTGGGCTTAGAGGAGTCTGTGTGCCAGGAAGGTGGTGAAGTCTACGGCCATTGATTGGAGTGAATTAAGAGGCAGTTTTATCTGCACAGATCAGATAATAGTGAGAGGGGCGGGAAGGGTGAGTGCGAACATGGATTGGTTGCTGTGGGTGCAATAGAGACAGTCTCATACCACCTAGGACTCAGAAACCATCAGGGTCAGGCAGAGAGGGTGGCCAGTAGCCTGAGGCAGATTGTGCAGAGCTCTTGAGTGAGAGAGGCTGAGAGGTGGGTCCTTGATGGAGGATTCAAGAAAGAGGGCAAGGGCAGTGGGCTGGGCAAGGGTGTATCAGAGGGAGAGGCAGAGAACCAGGATGGCAGTGTGCTCAAGGCAGTGGGCTGTAGAGCTCCTGGCTTCCTCGTCCTCAGCCATGAGGCCTTGACTAAGTTTTATTCAAGCTCTTTCTGCCTCAGTTGCCTCATCCACAAAATGGGGACAATACGGTTTATTTTCCCTGGGCAAACCAAACAGTTCTATCTAGCACACAAGTGTGTAAATAAAAAACTGTATATACAATTCAGCTTGACATTATATTTTAAATAATTTAAACTTATATAAATTTTATTTTATATTCTAATTTGTCTTCTTAATCAGTCAAATTCTAAAATATAGGTTGACGTAGGACACCTGGGTGCCTCAGTCGGTTAAACATCTGCCTTCGGCTCAGGTCATGATCCCAGGGTCCTGGGATCAAGTCCCACATTGGGCTCCTTGCTCGGCAGGGAGCCTGCTTCTCCCTCTGCCTGCTGCTTCCCCTGCTATGCTTTCTCTCTCTCTCTCTGACAAATAAATAAATTTAAAAAAATAAATAAAATGTAGGTTGACGTTTCCCATGTGGTTTTTCTCATCCTTATGTTACCAAGTTTGTGCTTTATATTTTTGCTATAGTATCTGTTGGGCAAATGAATAGTCAAGATTATTATATCTTCCTACAGCCCAACTTTTATCCCTAAAAAATGTCTTTATCTTAGTGATATTGCACTAAAGTTTAGGCCACATCCTTTTTTTTTTTTTACTATCATTTTATCAATATCTTTTTTTTTTTTTTT